TACCCAAAACTAAACATTTAAAAGTGGTATATAAAGAGGGCAAACAACAAAAAAAGTAGTAGTATTTTTATAATAAAAGATATCTTAAAAAACACTCCCCCAATCAATAATAAAAACAACAAATGCCCCTCTGGAGAAATGGACAAAGGACATGAACAGAAAATTCTCAAATGAAGAAATGTAAATGGCATATGAAAACTGTTCATCTGTCCATAAAATTGGATATGGTTTTCGGTTTTTTTAAAATTTCACTATCCAATGTTAAGAAGCGTACGAGAGGCTCAGTGGTTAGGGTGCCGGCCACATGCCCTAACTGCTGGGCTACAAGCACCGAGCCTACTTTACTTTTTAATACACAAAATCTCTAAGGGAAAACAAACAAACAAACAAACAAAAACTCCATAACCTTGTAAAATAAAAATGGAGACATAGGCTCAGCGCCTGTGGCTCAAGCAGCTAAGGTGCCAGCCACATACACCTAAGGTGGCGGGTTCGAATCCCCAGCCCGGGCCCGCCAAACAACAATGATGGCTGCAAAAAAAAAAAAAAAAAAAATGGCCAGGCATTGTGGCGGATGCCTGTGGTCCCAGCTACTTGGGAGGCTCAGGCAGGAGACTCGCTTGAGCCCAGGAGTTGGAGGTTGCTGTGAGCATGATGCCATGGCACTCTACCCAGGGGGATAGCTTAAGGCTCTGTCTCAAAAAAAAAAAAAAAATGGAGACATAGTAAATTGCCTTGTAAGTGGGGTGATAGGCAAGAGACTCATGAATCAGAAAATAGTAATGTGAGAAAGGACTTAGGACAGCATCTATCGTGACTAGATTCTAGTCAACTCCTCATTTCACAGATTTGGAAACTACCCATCACCTCTTAGCTTCACCGACCTGACCATCACAAAGACTTTTTTAGAACCTTTAAAACAAACTCTTAAAAACCCATACACCTACTGAGAAGCAGGTATAAATGCCATCACTGCAATACTTATCTCCTCCACAAAAGGTACCCAGCCAGGTCAGGAGCACAAGCTGACAGCCTGTTTGGTAAAGGAAACAAGAGGGCTATTGTAGAGTGTTGTTGCTTCTCATGTCACAGGCAACTGAGGAATTTTCCTTTCCTACATGTAATATTGACTGCGTGCCTACCTGGCCCTGAGATCACAAAAACATCCTCAGACAGTTGTAAACCTCTGGTGAGAACATCTTCAACACCCCTGCAGCAGAGTTGCTGGGCTCACAGCATCTGCCAAGTTGGAGCCCAGACATCATCTGGGTTCTGCCTCCTGCACAGCAGAGGTCTCTGGCAGGTGTTGCTCACTCCTTGGGCCCACGACCCACAACAGATATTCTAAATAATTGCCCTTTCTCAAATGTAAAACCCGACACGTCACTTATCCTCTCCACAAATACTTTCTTCTTTCTTTCTTCATGAGTTTTGTCCAGTCCACAGCTCTTCACCCCCATATCATTCCTTTCTCTTTCCAAGAACTGAGCCTCTGTCCCCCATCTCCTCCTTCCCTACCTGGCTCAGGGCAGGCACCCCTCCTATCCCACAGAGGAAGCCCTCCTCCCTTAGTCTTCTCAGCCAGCCCTATGGGTCCTTCAATTTTCCTCTCCGACTTCTTCCCTCTCCCTCCCCCCAGGCTCCTGCCACCCTTTCAGCATGGCCAGGTTTCCTCATCCCTCCTCCCGGGCGGCCTCCTCTTTTGCTCCTTCTTTTCCCGTGAATCTCTAGGCCTGGCAATCTCCATCCACACCTCCCTGGATCATGATAATGTCACGAAACACCAGAGTAAGGATTTACAGCCAGAAGGCCTACGGTACACACCCAGCCTTGCCATCGACCATTTCCAAGCCTTAAGTGAGCAAGTCACTTAATCCTTCACATCAATTTCCTCCTCTGTAAAATAAGGTTAATAATACGTGCTGTCTCCTTTATAGGTCTGCTGGAGGGTGAGACAGTCCACGTGGAAATGCATCAGGAGCTATGAAGCACTAACATTCCAGTTATTCCTGTTGTTACTCTCTCTTCATTACCCTTGGCCTCTCCCAATCAACTGAGGCGGGGATGGTTCCCAGTGCTCTTCATGTGGGTCACAGTGTTAACACTAACACCACGACAATGTCAGCATTTTAGTTTCTACCATATATTACCAATTTGGTAATAAACATATTTCATTCAAAACAAGCATAACCCTTGGGTTTTCTTGTTTTGTTGTCATCCAGACTGGAGTTTAGTGCAGGACCACAGCTCACGACAAACCTCTAACTGCTGGGCTCAAGTGATCCTCCTGCCTCAGCCTCCCAAGAATAGGTACACAGCACCATGCCCAGTTAATTTTTAATTTTTTTGTAGAGACAGGGTCTTGCTATGCTTCCCAGGCTGGAACAGAATTCCTGATCTCAAGTGATCCTCCTGCCTCAGTCTCCCAAACTTCTGGGATGAGAGGCATGAGTCACTGCACCTGGTCAACCCTTGTTTTTTTAACTATGTAAGCACGGACATCTGGAATGCAAGAGCAGTAGCCAACAATTATTGAGCGTGTACCAAAAGTCAGGCACTATTCTAAAGTTCTTTTTTTTGGACAGAGTCTCATTAAGGTGCCCTCAGTAGAATGCCATGGCGTCACAGCTCACAGCAACCTCAAACTCTTGGGCTTAAGCAATTCTCTTGCCTCAGCCTCCCAAGTAGCTGGGACTACAGGCACCTGCCACAATGCCCAGCTATATATTTTTTTTCTGTTATTGTTGCAGTTGTCAATGTTGTTTAGCTGGCCTGAGCTAGGTTCAAACTCATCAGCTTTGGTGTTATGTGGCCAGCGCCGTAACCACTGTACTATGGGCACCGAGCCTATTCTAAAGTTCTTTTTTTTTTTTTTTTTTAGAGACAGAGTCTCAAGCTGTGGCCCTGGGTAGAATGCCGTGGCATCACAGCTCGCAGCAACCTTAAACTCCTGGGTCCAAGCAATTCTCTTGCCTTAGCCTCCTAAGTAGCTGAGACTACATGCACCTGCCACAACGCCCAGCTATTTTGCAGCCCAGGCTGCATTCAAACCTGCTAGCTCCAGCATATATGGCTGGCACCCTAGCCGCCTGAGCTACAAATGCCAAGCCTACTCTAAAGTTCTTTTACATGAGAGAGTTTTTATTACGATTTCCATTTTACTGGTGGGGAAACTGAGACAGAGAAGCACAGCCATGATTTGAACCCAAGTACCTAACTCTAGAGCCCATCCCCTTACCTACTATCCTGCAATTCCTTTGGCAGGAAGTGGGTGCTGGAGTCATGGCTACTACAGTATTAGAGGTAGAAGATAATGTGTACCAAAACAACAATACTTAGGATCTTTAAAAAACAAAAACAATTTTCAAATTGCTATCTACCAATGTTGCTGAGGGCCATCAGACACTTCTCCATACTGCTACTTAGAATACAAACTGGCACATCCTTTTGAGAGATCAACCGAGTGCATCAAAACCTGATGCTACGTTCCATCAATGCCCAGCAATGGAACTTGTGCTAGCCACGTATCCCAGGGAAATAATCCTAAATGTGCAAGATGGATGGTTACCAAAAATACATAAAGAAAAATAATACAAATCTCCAACAAGGGAAGTGAGGTGGAGACACCATTGCACATATCCATAAACTGAATATCAAGCAGCCATTTAAAAATGCTGCTGAAGAAAAAAGGAATAAATGTTTTGTAAAGGAAAAGAAGTATGTAGTAAAAAAGCCCATTATATGGGTATTGGTATCTGGTTCAAGTTCTGAGGGAGGTGACCAGCAATGTGAACGCATGCAAGTCATTTAATTTCTCTGAGCCTTAGATAATAAAAGTACTGCCTTCACAGAATTAATGAGAATTAATCAAGTAATAAAGTGCTTTACTGGGCAGCACCCACAGCTCACTGGGTAGGGTGCCAGCCACATACACCCAAGCTGGCAGGTTTGAACCCGGCCCAGGCCAGCGAAACAATGACAACTGCAACAACAACAACAAAATAGCCGGGCATTGTGGCAGGCACCTGTAGACCCAGCTACTTGGGAGGCTGAGGCAAGAGAATTGCTTGAGCTCAAGAGTTTGAGGTTTCTGTGAGCTGTGACACCACAGTACTCTATCTGAGGTGACAGCTTGAGACTGTCTCAAAATAAACAAACAAAGTGCTTTACTAAGCCAGGTACAGGGCAAGCATGTAGTAAAATGTTACTCATTTATAAAACTCTACCAAGTTGACACAGACCACATACACATTACAAAAACTAGGAAAACAATACAGTAGGCTCGGCGCCTGTGGCTCAAGTGGCTAAGGCGCTAGCCACATACACCTAAGGTGGTGGGTTCAAATCCAGCCCAGGCCTGCCAAACAACAATGACGGCTGCAACAAAAAATAGCCGGGTGTTGTGGTGGGCGCCTTTGGTCCCAGCTACTTGGGAGGTGGAGGCAGGAGACTCACTTGAGCCCAGGAGTTGGAGGTTGCTGTGAGCTGTGATGCCACAGCACTCTACTTCAGGGGGACAGCTTGAGGCTCTGTCTCAAAAAAACAGTACAGTAAAATTTTGACGCTGATTATATCTGAAAGCGAAATAACATTTGTTTCTTTTCTGTGTTTCCCAGATTTTCTTTAAATAAAGTCAACAATATATAAATAAAGCCAACAATATATTAATATTTAAATATCTTCTGTTTTTCCAAGTAGCTTTAATAATACTCCTTTTGATCTATTAAGTTTCTCTGGTATAATCGTTGGTGCATTTGTGTTTTTAGAAATGGAATACTTTTATTGATTTAATCTGAAGAGTAATACATTCTTCAAATAGCTTGCTCATATTTCATCTGGAAGTCTTTATTCACACATTTGCACATTAAGAGCACTCTGAACAGATTATTAGAGCATAAAACATCAGGAAAGAGAATAGATTCAGGTTTCTAAAAAGTAAAGTTAAAGGAGACAAATGTGACAACTTCATGAGATTTATTAGAGAAAAAAGTGTCCCTTACCTTAATTATGTAAGGCCAGAAGTTACTATAATAAATATTTCATCTCCATGGACAATTTCCTGGTATGGTCAAATGACAGAAGTAATTCAATAGCTCAGAAGTCCATCCAGTACAGTGACCACCACTCTGAAAGGGAAAAGGATCTTGTTAAGGGAAATGAGATGGCTTGAGACCCACAAGAGGGGAATCAATTATTACAGACAGCAAAGCATTTTAGACACCAAGGTGCAGCTTAGCCACTTTCCAGCTGGGGGCGCAGCAGCAGGCCTGACTACAGGGAAACCTGGGATACTGTGTAAGCTGTCTCCTTTGCTTTAGGTAAAAACTAGTTGTTCACTCTTGCTGTGACTCACCATCACTGCAAAGAAAAGGCATGGGTCTCTCACAGGCTTCCACTCTCAGTTCTATGACTTTCTCCTCCATGAATTTGATGGTATATATACAAGTCAGCTCCTGCACACCACCCAATTTTTATGTTTTGTTATCTGTTACTCCAGATTCAGGCCACTCCAAAGCAAACACGTGACCCTTCTGTTAAAACTGTCAGTGGCAGTTCCCTGGGATTAAAACCTTAGGACCCTTTTCAAGCCATCACTCTCTGTCATTACCCATTCCACAGTCAATCCACCACCACTTTTTCCAAATGTCCTGCTGCACTCTAGCCCCTCTTTTTTACTCCTATGCCATTGCTAAAACCAAATTCTTTGGCATACTGCATCTGTTTACAATAGGAGCCTCTAACCTGGGTTCTCCCTGCAGATCGCCACCTATCCACTCTCTTATACACCAACTGCTTCCATCCTATACCCGTGTAACCTTGAACAGGCCCTTGTAACATTGGCTGGTGCCAATGTTCTCCCTCCTCACTGTGCTGTAAATCAGATGTCCCTGGACATGAATCCTAGTCCAGCCATTCTGCAGAACTTAGACAAGTCATGTCTGCTCAAAACTCAGTTTTGTTATGTATAAAATGGGAACAGTACCAACTACCCCTAAGGTTGCTGTAAAATAACGGTGAGATATTGTCCCTTACAGACCATGCAGCAGGTGATGTGCAATATTAGTCATTCTCGGCTCACCTTACAGGATACCAGCAACTCAAAAGTTCTCTGGTCTTGCAACTTCCAAACCTAACGTCCTCTTATACCTAAACTCTTAGTGGTATAAAAGAACATTGTTTTCTTCCATCAAATACAAGGTTCTCTCATTGACTTCCAGTTCTTCCATAATCTAGCACTACTTTAACTCATCTTCCTTCAGTCTCCAGCAAACACCTTCTGGCTCTATCAATCCAGTCATGTTCCCAAGAACACACTCCCCATCCTGCCTTTCCATCCATCCTTCCCCATGGGTGATATAGCCTTTATCATCCTCTCCCTTAAACCCGGCCCAAATCCACAGCTCCAGTAATGCCCACCTTCCAAACAATTTAACCCTCACACACTATTTTAACAATATCATCCATCTGGAAAGAGCCTATTCTGATTATAAGCTTTACACCTCAAGGTAGATTGTATCAAAGTTTTTACAAATTAAATATTTTTTAGATTGGCTCTGCCACTGCCTTTTGAAATGTGCCTTGAGTTAAGATTCCCTTCTTGGTTCCACCATTTGTATTTGTGTGGAAAGGCTCACACCAGGAGCTTGTTCCATCATCTATGGGTGGACCACCGACAATCTGAGGGGCCTTCTCTTGGGGCCCAGACGTGAGTTCTGAGCATGTCTGTCAGACTCTATCACCAAGTGAACATGTTCCAATTTCTTTTCTTTTTTTTTTTTTGACAGAGCCTCAAGCTATCCCCCTAGGTAGAGTGCTGTGGCATCACAGCTCACAGCAACCTCCAACTCCTGGCCTCAAGTGAGTCTTCTGCCTCAGCCTCCCAAGTAGCTGGGACCATAGGTGCCCGCCACAACGCCCGGCTATTTTTTGGTTGCAGCCGTCATTGTTGTTTGGCAGCCAGGGCTGGATTCAAACCTGCCACCTTAGGTGCATATGGCTGGTGCCTTAGCCACTTGAGCCACAGGCGCCCAGCCACATGTTCCAATTTCAAGAACCATTTTATGACCAAACTTGTCAGGAATGAGGATAACCAGCAGATGAGAAAGATGATTGATTACTAGACTTCTACCTCAACAATTACTGCTGAAGCTCCAGGCTACAATAAAGGTTCTGAGGAGGAAGGAGCAGAAGACACAAGAGGGGTCCAGGAAGATAGGAGAGGAACTGATGAAGCAGAAAGACACAGAGGGGTCCCAGAGGCAGGAGAGTAACCACAAGTTCAAAAAGGCACACAGCCAAAACTGGGGATGGGGGCTAACAAGATGGGTTTAACCATCAGGAGGGAGGTCACTCGAAGCGACCCCTGAGGACAGTTTTTAATAAGACTGATACAGGAACCTGACCACAGGGGACTGACAAGGAACTGGGAGGGCAAATGGAAACAGGCAGAGACTTTCCTGCCAAGAACTTTGACTATCAAGCCAAAAGGTTTGTGCCAGTCATTATCTAACCTGATGAGGTCTACCTGATACAGCAGCTCAGCAGAACCAGCAGAACCACTTGCTCTTCTTCCCTTGCTCCTGACCTGTCCATGTGCAGAGAGACTGACCACTGAAGACAACCTACTGCACAACCTGCTGCAAGGGCCTCAGTGCCAGCACCACCCTCACACGCCTGGTTTGGGTTCCCTAAGAAACCTTCAGAACAATTCAACAGCTAAATGCTATCAAAGTCTGAACAGCAAAATCATATTCTTCTTCTGTTTTAGGAAAAGGCTAGTGACTTACTTAACAAATAAAGAAAAAAGCAACAAAATATATCAGATCAACAGACCAAAAATCCGGATTTGGGTCAAATCCTGTATTACTGCATTTGGGTTAACGTATATAGTTTATACTGAATTACTAAAAAGATAACAAAATTATTTTTCTTCCTTCAAGGTAGAACTTGTTCTTTACTATAAGTTTAGAAAAATCAAACAATAAAACAAATAAAAATCACATGCATGACTATCGTGTTGTGGAACTCTGCTGTGTATGCAGGGCACACGTATAAACATAATACACGAATATGTAAACATACGCAGTTTTTATTACAAGTGAAACACATGGTATCGTTTGTAACCTGGCCTTTCTATTTATTCTGACACAAGTATTGTACCATTTAGTAGTTTTGTATACTTTCATTTGTAATGATGGTACAATAATCCATTTTAATAAACCTCCTTGAAGCATTTAAGCCACTTCCCATTTGTGATAATATAAATAATGCTAAGAAGACGATCCTTCAATATACTATTAAGTATTTGCCTGGGATAAAGTCACAGGTCAAATGCATGGAAAGCGTAAGGATCTGATATTGTTAACTTTACTCTACAGAATGTTTGAGCCAGTGGCACATGACACGACTCCCTCTTCCACACTCCACCACTGGGTAGCATTATTTTTTTAAATATTATTTCTATAGATTTTTAAATTTTTTTATTAGCCTATCTTTGAGGTTGGACACTTTCTTGTTCATGTTCTTTATTTTTCTATTGGAGTGTTCATCTTATTGGTTTGTAATACCTTTTCATATGTCAAGGATATGACTAACTTGGTACCTTGATAAGGAGGAGAAAAGGGTGTATTAATTGGGAACTTTGCCTACAAGAAGCAGAGCAAACCTGTAAGAGTCAGAAAAGATCCTTATCACAGGATACTAAGAATACGTGAACTTTGCCACACATGTAACAAATAGCTTTCCCTGGTCCTTTTATTTCTAAAATGGAAACATCGCTACATCACTGGTCTATTTTGAGTATTAAAGAAAATGCAGGTAAAGTCATGAAAGTAACCATCATAAAAACAAAGACTGCTATTACTGAACACTTAAGAATAAGGTGCTTTGCTCTTCCAGTCCTTATGATGAGTTTATCAGGCAGGTATTCCCACCATTCCTCTTTTATAGAAACTCCGTAGTAAACATAAAGTGATAATTATATTTCTATTTTTGCACATAATCTCTGGATTGACTCTAAAAAAAGACTTACTAATTGAATTATTCCCAGCTGTTTTTAGCAACTTTTCTTTCTTAGAAGTAATCCCAGGGACTGCTCAAGTTTCTTCACCAGCAGTAAACCAAGTTACTAGCTTCTGCATCCATTCGTTTAAGTTTCTCAAACAAACTCTCTTCTTCCCCTTCCTCTATGACCTATCTTTATATAAATTATCACTCTAATAACAAGCTAAGTATTTCTGGCTAAGAACAAGGTCACCTTATCAGTGGCTACAAGTTCAACCCCATGACAAATACCCTTAAGTGTTCCTCAGCTGCTTACATGTTAGTGATGTCTGTAGCAACGACACACACTGAACCCACACTCTGGTCAAAGCACACTGTGCTGTATAAATATTTTATGTACAGCTTGTACTGAAATTCTAGATGAAGAGCATTCACAGAGCCTCTGTAATGTGCTACTTGCTCAAGACCACATACTTTCATTAAGGCTGTGTGCAAGCTTTACCATCTTTTATATGTAGCCCCCTGATTTAATCCTAATAAGTGCCCCCCACTCCCCAAAAATGTTTTTTTAATCTGCTGCTTGTGGTATGGGCAAGGCAGCCATCTGAAATGATGGCAAAAGGAAGGTGGGAGATCCCTGAAATGGGCTTCTCGGGGTGCACAGCATGTGTGAGCCTGGTAGATCAGTTTCTTTCCAGGAATATTAACAGAATTGTAACACCCATTGCCAGAAAAGGGAAAAGTAAACCTCCTCCTATAATTTCATGAATTCATTAATAATTTTTTAAAAATGATTAGAAATTCAAAGGCTACTTTATGGAACAGACAGGTTTCCAAACTGGCTTTGGAAACAGCCACACAGCAAAAGCAACAATGAAATACCTCAAATCTCCCTGCCAGTTTGGGACAGGTACAATCACCTGCCCACCCACCTTCTTCATAAATCAACAGCCACGTGGAAGAACAGTCAAGGCCTTGCCGTGGGGATCTGGCCACGGAGACTGTTGCTAGGTGACCATAAAGGCAGAGCCTATCACATCGCCCGGCTGCAGCCCAAACTGGTGATTACTGACTCTAGGGCAGGAGGCTTTCTAATGCTTTTCTCTCTGAATTGTCC